GGTAATCTTTGGAGGAGTTATAAGTAGTTTGATTAAATGATATCGAGTTCGTTTAATGCAGTCTGCTGGATTTATTTAAGAAGTTTATAATCTTGATTTCGAGTGGTGTTGATTCTACTTATGAGTAAGTAAGTACTACAGATTTTATTCTAATTTTAAAGGAAAATTAAATAGGTAGAGTTTGTCTGAAACTTTATTTTTTCACTTGATTCAGATTTTAAGCTTTATGGTGAAAACTATAGCTGACTTTTTCAGGTACTAAGATAGATTTACGTGAGACCAGTCCAGCTATTTCAGCTTTCTGGACAATTTGTCGGCCAGGTGTCCCAGTGAGTTTATAGAAGAACGCTTGTGGCGTACGACTTCTATAAAATTAGCAATAAACTAGCATCAAAGTAGCCGCTGCTTACTAATCTACTGTAATGATTGGTAATAGCTAGGGATGGGGCTTAGTTATGCCGATGAGGACCTTGTAGTTTGCATCAATATTTTTCCATAAAAATATTTTTTTCAGGTTTGTCTATTTATTCTTCAATCACGAAGATGCACATTAATTAATCAATGCATTAGGATTTCTGTGACATTGGAGGCTTTGATTTTAATTAAAGTCCTCATCACAAATGTCACAATAAGTCTTCGTCCTTTCTGAATAATCTACTTAGACATTACTATTTTGAATGTCGTTATCGCTATCACAATCGCTATCGCTTCGATAGATGCTGTCCCTAGACAACGGGGGCGGGAACGGAACACACCTTCTCACGGAGAAACGTGACGTCTGTTACCCGACTCGGAGAAAAAGGAATGACAGTAGAATATAGATAAATTTTTACTTTGAGACAGGCAGTATTACAAACTGAAAACCACAATACAAGATTCCATAAAATTGTGCGTTGCCGGTCTTTAAGTTGTAAATTCATTCAGTTTGTACGTCGTATCGGTCCGGAAAAGGTAGCAGGGAAGCGCTGGACGCAGGCCAATCGATCAACATGGAAAGCATTGGGGGAGGCCTATGTTCAGCAGAGGACGTCCTATGGCTGAAATGATGATAATGATGATGATGATGATGATGATGATGATCGGTCCAGAAATACTGCAGACGACAGTAGATTCCACAGTTTAGTTGTACGGGGCAGGAAGTTTCTAGAGAAACGTACAGTTGTGGACTGCCAACCGTCCAAGTGAAGGGGATGATGTGAAATATTTCTGATTCTGAAAGTGAAACCCTATGGGGTTTGATTGGGCATAGAAGACAGTACCTACGTCAAGTTAAACACTATGGCATCTTGCATAGTGTAAGTAAAGGTGTTACGAGTATATTGCTATAAAAATTTAGTTTGATTTGCCATCAACTGCACAAAATCGTGTACAGGGAATGTATTTCGCGACATAAATTTCACTCGCACTCCTGCGTTGTCGCATATTTTAAATCGGTTTTTTATTCTGTACTTAGGCCCTTGTCGCTTATACACATTTAGTTATCGCAGCTTCTATGAATCTTACACACATCACTAAGACGGAATCCTGCAGGTGCCCGACAAGTCAACCGATCAGTCGACGGGTAAAAGACGTCGTGCAACAATTTTTATGGGATTCTAATTAATAGTTTATGGTATTGTTTAGTGTCGGCGGATAAATTGGATAGCCTATTAAAATGTTGTGGAACATAATTTGATTAGCGTTAAGCACTACATTTATTAGTTCTTGCGTACACATGTTAAATTAAAACAAGACAGTTAAATTCCTTACTAGTCTTTACTGTTTCCGCTCTAACTGAAATTATTGGTCATATTCGACTGTAAAGTCAAAGTTAAGGTTAAAACTATACCTACCTCAAGCTCTTCAAGTTACAAAGCTTACTAATGTTAAAGTACAACAAGAAAGTTAATTCCTTACCTATTTAAAGTTTTGACTGTATTAGCTCTGAAATTGTTCTTCGATTGACGAAAATGTAATTTAAAGTACTGTACCTCAAATTCTTCAAGTTACAAAGCCTTCAAGTTACTATTGCCCATGATAAATAGGTATTCCTTTTGGTAGCCCTCATGGTGTCATGGTATTTTAATCGAATCAATCGAGATTCCCGATTCCCCGCCCACAACACTCCTCTAAACATAAATACAGTGTGTTCGAGAAACCGAAGGTGTCCTTAAAACTGATTTTTTGAGCAATGACGTAAAAAAAAAAGCGGTTTCAAACAATTTTAGTGGGTACAACATTTCTTTTAGGCAACAGATACGAAAGTAACCCTTTTCTGTCTGAATTTTGGTCTGTTTTACAGAGATAATTGGCTCTAGTAAAAAATAATGGGTTTTTATTGTAAAGGCCTTTAAAGAGTTACAAGGGATAAAAGTTTGTGAGGAGACAGTCATTACTCAAGTTCAACCTATATGGGACCTGAACAGCTAACAGAAAATATTGTTTTTCCCAATGCTTTTCTTGATGTGCTCGCCCGTACAACCTGTATCCTACCAATATCTACTTATTTAACAGCCATCGCCATACCGGGTGGAATCGCACTCGAGTTTACGAGCCGCCGGCGCGAATTCAATTTGGGCCCGATCCTAAACCTCTGACCCTCCTCATAAACGAATATACCAAGCCATGACAATAAAGGGCCACTATGGGCTATTGTTTTATCGAGATTGCGTTTACGATGTCCTGAGGTTTAGTGGGGTTTAATCGAACTTGACAGTTTGGCCACACATTTTTGTAGCAGCCCCACTTATATGAGTATAACCGACTCTACACGTTAAGATTTTATTAAAGGAATAATGTTACTAATTGTTATTAATGAACTAGCGGCCGCCCGCGACTTCGTACGCGTGGATCCTGTTTTACCCCCTTTTCCCGAATTTTCTTTGCTATAAACCTCACGGAGCCCGAGACCTTTCCAACGAATGCAAAACCGTGGAAATCGGTTTGTGCGTTCTGGAGTTATAGCGTCAGGGAGGAAAACCCGACTTATTTTTATATAGTAGATAGGTTCACAAGCAGCTTATTGACTGCAGTATGTGGAGGAACACTATATGTGGTCGCGATCCTTACCAGTGAGGGACCGAGGTAGAAGAAGTTTTACCCGCAACGCAACGAGTACCTATTTTATGAACTTAATAAAGCCGCAATGAAATTAATCAGTATAAGATAGGAAAAGTTCGAAGCTAGGATAAAGCAATAATACACCGTGAAAATTAAAGACACATATTTCGATTCTACTCTTTTATGACAGTTTCTATATTTATTTCTGTAACCTTCAGGATACGCGAACTATGTCAGTAAATAAATGTAAACGCCTTTACATAAGTATCCCTAATGAGTTTACTCTGAATCCCGAACAGTAGCCGTTTTGTTAGCCTCCTCTAACGCCGCAATAAAAAGTGATCAAGCGTCGGCCGATAACGGTCTCGCCCGAACTGCTCATCCCATGTGTGTGAGCACTTGTGGGCTGGTGCCACCGACGGTTAAACTAACGTTTTGTCAATGTTAAACGATTGGTTATGACGAATAAGGCTGGGTTTTTTGATTCGTAGTTAAATTAATCAATGGTCAAATTTGACAGATGAAAATGACAAAGAGTCAATGGTTAAATATCAGAAAAAACGTTTTTCGAACAATGGTTAGCTTGACATTTAATACATTTTTTAACTATTAGTTTGCATTTTGTTAACATTTAACTATTAGTAACAAAATTTTGACTATTAGTTATTTTAACTAAAAATCAAAAAACTGGTTCTAAGTAAACGTAATTTATAACACTGATGTAGAATTCTTTTTCAGGAATGTTAAAACCGTAGAAAAACGAAGTAGGTAACTCTCAGCTTTTTGTCTTACCTTAAAAAGTTACCTATTTATCAAGCCAAGTTATTAGAACCGAATGACTAATGTTTACTTGTGATCAATAAATCAAACGTGTTTTTATACTTCAATTTGTTCCGGTGAATTTATTGACAACCAAATAAAATATTGTAACACTGATTAAGCATTGCTCTAACACTTTAAACTGCGCAAAATTAGATAACTGTTTATTGTTAACTATAAATTCGTTATTAACACAATTTTCGTATCAGCGAGTCGATTTTGGCGCAAATTAGAGCATCGACGTGTGGATAGATTGTAGTTTATTTTAAAAAAGATATTCACCAAGCCTGTGTTTCGTAGAGATACGCTACTAACGTGCGGTGGCGGCGCCGGCCCGTAAACAGCGCTCTACCCCGATGACAGATCAGATTCAGACCGCCTCATTACCAGCTCTTGTAAACAAAACTCATGCTTGCAACACACCAAAATATCATAAAAAACACACACTTCAACAAACCAAAACTTATTTTATACCTCAAAGATAAAGCTCAGTTTTGCGTTTTACGCAAAGATCAAATTTTCAGTTAAGTGGAGCACACAATAGAATCTTTAAAGCGAAGATGCTGCTATTATTAGGTGTTAGCGTGATTATTTGACAGTTTGAAAACGTTTACAGATTGTAGGTATATTGCCGGCAATCTGGCTTCCTGCTTTTAATGTAAACAGTGCTTCGCCGGGCGTTTGGTTAAAAATTTAATATTAAAAGATCTTAATAAGACTGAACGGGTAAATAAAACAATACATATTTGCCAGGATAATGTTCACTTTACATAACAAAATCATTATCAAGCCTTAATTGATTTTAATTCTTGATCGGTTTAACTTTTGTCTACCCGTTTCAGATATCTCTACATTTTTTAGCTAAAAAATGTTAGTCACTTTAAAACATCACACTCATGTGTGATGTTTTAAAGTGACTAACGAATTACTTATTTCTTTCGTTACTTAAGAAAGCGTTTGTAGTGAAATTTTACAATAGAAAGTGTTGGGCGTGGGTGCATCATCGATTGTTGATACTGAAATAAATTGTCATGCTTCATAATAAATAGTTTAATCTAATGCCAGTCAGTCTTTATTACGTTGTACAAACCGATATTTCATTAGTAGATAAACAAGTTAAGATTCCGCGATTGATTGGTTCACTAGTGTCCACCTTTATCCGCTTGACTCCACTTGGCATATCCTTCACAAAACCGCACCATTGCATCGAAGAGCTGTTCCGGGGGTATATCCACAAAGTTCGCCAACTCGGCATTCCTTCTCTTTCGTCCGTAAGACGACGAGAACTGAGGTTGAGGTTTCTTCTTGATTCCAGCGCTGATGAAGAAGGCTGGGGTCGCTGTTGTTGTGTTCTGAGATTCCTTAGCCTTGACAGCTTGCACGATGAGACACAGTAAGTAGCCACCAAACGCGAGAAACGCCAGCGTCGTTATCGACATGGAAAACAAAGTCCCCAGCTTGCTCTGTCCACCCTTCTTGAGTTCATAATCGGTTCTCTTTATAGGCGCGTTAAGGGCTAAAGCTTGTGCGCCAAATGTGTGATAAGCAGGTGTGGTCGTCACATTATCGTAGTTTGCCGTCACTAGCTCTTGCAGCGAAGATTCCAGACTTATCAATTTATCCAGGGGCAATTCATTGAGGTAATCCACATCTTTAAGAGAGAGATCCGCTGATGCGACCTTGAGAAATGTAAAAATGAACAAGACAAGCATTTTGAGATGCTGTGTGTGCTAGACTGACATCGGCGACAGCTAGGGTGGTTAGCGTGGTCTGCGGACCAAGACGTAGCGGTGCATGTCAGAGCATATCTTCAAATGACACTTTCAGTGCGACGTTTTCTTCGTGACAAACTAATAAGCATTGATGTCAGAGTCACAGTGATGCAGTATGTTAATGTTTTATGACTGAAGTTTGAAGGATATTTCGTTTCGATGTAGAGAAAATTACACGGGTTATTAATTTCGCCTAAAGCGTGAATTGCTTAGCTTATTGCGTGATTTATGATGATAATTACTTCAACCAATCACAAAGTTGACACTGCTTTGTCTATTCAGCTGCATGTTGAACAATTTCACAATGTTTTAGCAACATTAACGTCTTTGTTTACTTCGAGCCCAGTCTTACATAAATGTTAATTTTCAGCAACGATGGTGCCTCAAACCTATTGAGGTTTCCGTGTCTATTGTTCTCGTTTTAACGATTTATTTATGCTTACAGGGTGTATCCAAATAACATTGTTTTGTACATTTCTTTTTGATAGAAAATAAGGAAAATTACTTTTAAAAAACATAAGGACCTCTACAACGTCATTACATCCTACCAAGCAAACATAATTAGGATAATTTTGCAACCTAATAAAGTAGGTACAAAGTATATTTTCTATCGACCCTTCCTAATCCCGATCTCTACATGAGCTTTCGTAAAATGATCGATCGATCTCAATACTACTAGCGCCATCTATTCATCCTGAAATGCAACAAGTATCCAGTCTTCAGCAAAAAAACTCCTGAAATTACACTTCAAAAGAGACTAAAAAAAATCTCAGATTTAAATTAGTTTCAAAACATCCTGTACCATAAATGATAGACACAATTACCTCAAAAGATATGCTCTACTGCGAGCATTGCACACGCACGCGTGGTTGTTTGGCCACCAAGCGGAGCGTGCGACACGCCACTGTAGTTCCGACGGTCGCCGCGAGATGTCGCGACTGGTGTGGTTAGTGTTGGTGCTCCAGGCTGCGTGTGCGCAGGAATATGCCAGGGAAGGATTCATTGATAGACTTAGCAGCGGAATGAAATTCGCAACGGATTTACTTGGTAAGTAGAATGTGAATATCTAAAAAATAACACGTTTCGATTGTAACAAAATTAAAAAGAAGCCTGAAGTTGGGTTGGGTTATTTTCCCATAAATACCTATTGCAAACAATTATTTGCTTCATAATTACTATTTTTTATTTATCTAATTCGACAAGGAATTGGTGTTTTATGGCATATATTTCATAACAATAATGCACATATTAGCATAGAAGTTAAGCCACATTTTCTAAGATATAAAGTACATTTAAGTAATGTACTTAAAGATTCCGACATATAGGGAGAAATACGCTAAATAACACTCATAAGATCCTATTACCTAAATATTATACTAATATTATAAATGCGAAAGTAACTCTGTCTGTCTCGCTTTCACGCCTAAACCACTGAACCGATTTTGATGAAATTTAACATAGACATAGTTTGAGTCCCGGGAAAGGACATAGGATAGTTTTTATCCCGGTTTTTGAGACAGGGACGCCGCGATAAAGTTTTTCTGTGACAGACAAAATTCCACGCGGGCGAAGCCGCGGGCGGAAAGCTAGTATAGAATAATTTACTCTACTTGTTATTTAGCGAATGTTACAAACACAATGATTATGCGTTTCAGGAACCGAATCCGTAGCCCAGAAGGTTGCCGAATTCGTCGTGAAAGCTTTCCAGATAACTAACAAGCCTTCTCCATACAAGCGCCCACCTCCGGATACTCTAGAAGAGTCTAGCGAGGAGAGCTTCGCAAGCGAAAAGCGACCTAACTACAATGTGGAAGAGGCTGCAAACCCTATGTCACCGCTGAAGTACTTAGTGAGGCTCTTTGGACTGCAGCCAGGGCAGATCAGCGCAGTGGCCGTGAATGCGCTGGTCTTTGTTGCGCAAATGGTAAGAATATTGTTCCTTGCCTTAACTTCGAACTCCTCCTATATTCTTCTGATTAATTTCGTTGCGGGTCCAATGACAGTTTAACTTTCCCCCGGGACAAACTTGAGACCTTCACTTGTTGAGTTTTAATTCAAGCTGTAGATCCTGCCTACACAGGAGTTACAGCGGTGGAAACGAGAGGTGGGAATAGACCCGTTCCTTTAACAACCTCTACGTTATTACACACCACACAAATATGACACGAAAAATGAGTTAGAAATAGAAGAGCACGAAAGATCTTTTACAGTTATTTATTTACCTAACTAGGTTCTGTTACTAAGTTGACAGTTTTGCAGACCCCTATTTTTAAAAGGCCACTTAATAAGAGTACCCTTCTGAATAAAACCCTTAGAAAGGAGAGAAGACAATGCAGTAGTTTCATTACTTAACGTTAGGCTTACCTAAAGGCTTTACTTATAAAGGCCTTATTTTATCTCAACAAGAATCTGTCTTGTTGGTTATCTTAATAAATAAAATGAAATAAATAAATAATTAAACCAATTTATGACTCAAATCTGCTAAATGTAACTTAATTTACGAACGCATACAAACATCATTTCCGATCGGAAATAAAATAATGCCATATCAATCAGATGCCAAGGGATACGACGATTAAATAGTTAACTTTCTTCTGCAGCTTTTATGTCAAGTTCTCACGGCACATAATTTTCCGACTGAGTACATAATTTCTCTGCCTTGATCAAATTGAAAACATAATTGATTTATATTCATTCGATTTCTAATTATCATGTGCATAATAATTCTATTATTGAACTATCTATCATTTTACAGATATCGACGTTCTTAGCTGGAAACAGGCGCCCTAATAGACCATATCGATCCGATGATCCGATCGAATGGGTCCTTAACAAGAGATCTAGCAGACTCCAAGAACTCATCTCCAGAGCTAAAAATGAGTCTTTATTCAACGACATAGAGGGCATAATCGAGGAGCAAGGTTCGAACGAAGAAACCAGCTGCATAAGACTGCTGGTTTGCAAAGTAACTCCGTTCGTGCATAAGATGCAAGAAGCCGTATTTGGCAAGGAGGGGAGGGATGTGAAACCGGGGAAACTTCGCGGCGCGGCGACAATGTACCGCCATCTACCGTCGACGGATGAAATCAAAGAGAGAAGCGACATCTGTGAACGAAAGCATAGAGACTGTGATCTAAATCAATAGTAGTTAGTTATTATATTGATTTAATTATAAATGAAAATAACTAAGTTCTTTCATCAAAAACTTAGTTGGTAGAGTTTCAGTACAAATCAAGAATTTCATTGTCTTTATCTTAATATCTGTTATTAAATATTGTAACATCTTTATGTGTGTAGTTGTTATAAGTTATATGTATTTAACAAAGTAAATTGATCCTTTGATGTGCTGCCGACTCTAGTTTTACACTTGTTGTATCCAAGAGTTTTATATGTGCGTCCGAGGACTTTCTTGATACTAAAAATATCTTAAGGACGCTCACTCGTGCGTCAAGCACTGTAAAATCTTACAGGAGTCCTAGAAATGAACTCAAATTCTTGTTGCTTTGATAATTATAACCATCACGTATTAAATGTAGGAGCACCTGCGTTAGAAGGCGAGGCCCCAAAGCACCTGTTCTGTTATGCGACCTGCTGACCCATTGACGATTCGTCCACGTGCCAACGAGTGTAAATACTTCGATGGTTCCTATTCAATCGATGGATGAAAATTCACAAGTTGGAAGTATGTAACTAAAGTAGTAAACACAGTGCAGTGGTAGCTTGAATCAATCACTTTATGTATTCGTTCCTAATTCGTTAGGCTCAGTCTCAACCTCTGTGGTTGAGGATTCCGGATGAAGCGCGTTTCCACCTTCGGTTTGAACATCACTTTTCATCAGATGTGATGCAGGCCAAGAGCTTTCCCGTTGTGGATAAAAAGAACTTAATATTCCAAATACCTTATAAATAAAAATGCACGCTTCGATGGCATGCTAGGCCGTCGATCCGATAGAGACACAGCAGATGCCTATGGCATTTCATTAAGTCTGTTTGGTGTCAGATATGCTCTCGGTTGGTAAAAACCGCACAAAAGATGAAAGGAAGACTGTATTCAGTACAAAACAACAAACCCTTAAATTATAATAAGTACTTGGCTAGTTCTTTGACTACACTTTCGACGAACTTTGGATGCGTGTTTGATCCATCTTTATACAAAGAGTTGTTGACATGTATAAACAACACGGATCAAACCGAATCGAAACCAGGTCAAATCATAATTCGATCCAAACATAATTTTAGATTCAATGTAACACTTATTAGGAAAGTGGCCTGAGATTCAATCAGCATTAAAACAGCAGTTACGGTTTCCTTTCTCATTTCATCGGCCTCAGGACATGATATGACATAAGAGGTCGTTGGCATGTGTTCTGTGATTGACATGTGTTTTGTAAGTGTTGCGCAAGAGTCTGCGCAGACTGCGCGGCGGACGGCAAGTCCAATGGAAGCTGGCCAGCCCTGGTTCGAAAACGATTGATAAATTCAGTGGATTAGCTATAGTGGGTGGGGCAAACGCGAAGAAGCACCGTCCGATAGGAGGAAAGTTCGTTGCATGGAGAGTGTAAGCCACCAGCGTATTCAAGAAGTACTTGTTTACAACTGACAGTACGTCAAACCATAGTTTTTAAAGAAAATTAGACATAGGAGGAGAACCTCCACCGCGGAGGTTTCACGCGTCGGCAACAGAGAGAAACGGTCAATTTATGTTTTTTTAAAGATTATATTAGCAATTTGTATTGCACAAATCTATATATATAAAAGAAAGTCGTGTTAGTTACACCACTTATAACTCAAGAACGGCTGAACCGATTTAGCTGAAAATTGTCAGGGAGGTAGTTTAGAGCCAGGAGAAGGACATAGGATACTTTTTATCCCGTTCGAAATTAAAAAAAAGTCTGCTTATTTATTACCATTAAGGCGGAACAAAGTTCGCCGGGTCAGCT